GGCAAGAAGAACAAATCCATCACCACAGCTAGAAAGAGTATGTTAAAATTAGTAAAGTTGCAAAGTTTGGTTTCGAAATGTTGTAAAATGCGGGAAATATGGCCCTACGAAATTTGCAAAATTTGAATTAATTTGTATTCCGTGCGGAAAAATGCACCACTTTCAGCCCAAATGTGGTGCATTTCCCCGCGCGTAATACAAATCAATACAAAATTTGCAAATTTCACAGGGCTATATTTTCCGCATCTTACAACATTTCGCGGCGAAACTTTCCAATTTTACTAATTTTAACATGCTCTTTCTAGCTGTGGTGATGGATTTTGTTCTTCTTGCCTAGATCAAAATTTAGTCTACTACTATAACTGGAATAATCTATTTCGTTAAAAACTATATCGAAGACGAAAGTAAACCCCATTTGGATCTAAAATGCATGAATTTTAACAACCTGATACTCAGGGTTTTCGCTTGGTCACTTTTTTTAAGCTTATAGTTTAATTGGCATGACACATTAGAGATTAATTGGTCTCTCTTTTGTTCTGCACATCTTTAATTCAATCAGCTCGCATTTCGTCATTTTTGCTTGAAACGATACGAAAAAGATCTCATTCGAAAGCTATAACCCTATAGTCTTTATTTATATGAAAAAGTTAAATCTGGATTACATTCTCTTTTATACACGGCCCTGTTGGCCTGTATATATATTAAATTATAACCTGTTTACATTTTGCTGTAGGTCTTTCCAGCTATTCAACTGTGGAGCTGCCGTTTTATTCAAAATATCTGCTACTTGCCGCCTACCTAGCGTCACACAATCCTGCTAAAACTGACAGGCAGTTCTTCTGCAAAACGACAGCAAAGAAAATGACAAAGCGAGCGAAAGTTGCTGCGAAATTTGGTGTTAAAACAAGCAGTCAGTTGAAAGGTAATGCGATGGTTTTATGACAAGTTGTAAATAAATTGTCGTGGTTTGTCTGAAGTTTGAACTACCTGGAAAAGATATCACAAACGTGGTTGGTCCAATGTAGGTAGTATTCTTCAATAAGCTGTCGTGGTTTGTGTCTGAACTACTTGAATAGGATATTTCAGACGTGGTGGTCCAGTGTAGGTAGTAATGTAGTATTCTACAATAAGCTGTCGTGGTTTGTGTTTGAACTACCTGGAAAAGATATCACAAATGTGGTGGTCCACTGTAGGTAGTATTGTACAATAAGCTGTCGTGGTTTGTGTCTGAACTACCTAAAAAAGATATCTCAAACGTGGTGGTCCAGTGTAGGTAGTATTCTACAATAAGCTGCCGTGGTTTGTGTCTGAACTACCTGGAAAAGATATCTCAAACGTGGTAGTCCAGCGTAGGTAGTATTCTACAATAAGCTTGTCGTGGTTTGTGTCTGAACCGTACCTGAAAAAAGTTATCTCAAACGTGGTAGTCCAGTGTAGGTATATAGTATTCTTCAATAAGCTTGTCGTGATTTTTCTGAACTGTCTGAAAAAGATACATATCTCAAACGTGGCGGTCCAGTGTAGGTAGTATTGAATCCAACACAATCATTCTATCCACATATTCCAAAACAACAACCAATTGAACTATTTTCCTACTTTCAGGGCCACATCAGTTCGTCCTGGATCGATTAATGGCAATATTCTACAGTATTGTCGACGAGAAAGTACCAGCATCAGCAGTTATATTGACTCAACTATCCTCCCTCGTCACGTTGCGTTTCTTGTCCCAAGTTTCGGCAAACGACCAATTAGACTCGCCCAAATACAAATGCCTTGTATCTTTGGATTTGATTAAAGCGATTGCTAGGCAGCTTGAATTTGACTTAGGACAGTACCTGTATGATTTCATAAATCAGTAAATAGCTTTGTATTTTGGCGAATTTGAATTACATTTGGGAAAGTGTGACATATAGAGGAGCAAAACACGAAAGCGAGTTTCTGTTTTTGAATTCATTCGTGAAATGGAAATTGGGATTTGGGAAAATGGAATTGGGATTTTTGGAATGGAAATTGGCAAATCGGTGAGTTGAGTGACCGGATTCCACTAGACAAAAAATTAAGAGAATTGAACATTTCCTAGAATCGTTAGCCTGCTAATATTATCCTTTGATCCCTTGGGGGTGAGGCAACACTTTCCTTGCGAAAGTAAGTTCTAGTATTATCCTTTTCTGCAGACAATTTATGCGAGAAATATGACGTAAACTTACTCCAAATATTAACGTAAATTGTGAACAATTGAAAGCAAGATAAAATTTAAGGCAATCAAGTCATTATCAAACCTAAATATTTAAAGACCATGTCAAGTCCGTAATGCAAACAAATCCTTTGTTTACATTTTGAACTGCTATATTTGTCAAATAAGACATACTAACTGAATATCTAACACTTTTTTGTTTCGCTATTGTAAATGAATGTAAACTAGAGTTCTCAAATTCATTAATAATTCATGAGTAATTCAGCCAATGATAATCACCTATTTGATCACAAGATGCCATTTGGATAACCCGGTGAAACTTGATGAAAGTCACTAGTGTTTTCATCAAATATCTTAATTACGCATGCAAAATTACTTGAATAGAATTCCTAATTACTTTACGCTTGGTTAAGAATTCTATTCAAATCAGCAAACGAAAACATTCTGTTACGTCTCGATTCATTTGAGAAGCCATATAAACAACTCGAGCTCGTGTCTCACCGGGATATCCAAACACGAGAAAACAATGTATGAAAACACTCGCGCTTCGCGCTCGTGTTCTCATACATTGTTTTCTCGTGTTTGGATATCCCGGTGAAACACTCACTCTCGTTGTTCATATATTACTTCAAAAACTCATCAATAATTCATGAGGAAAACACAAAGAGAAATCATAAGCGTGGCGTGTCTTTATATGTGATAAAACACGCTTCAAATTTCAACTTGTATTTTCTCAGCTAATACAAAGTTATTTTGGAAAATTATTTCGCCAATGCCGTGATCTAACTGAGACGTTTTTGAAGCTGTTTAATAAACTCGTAGTTCGTGTTTCATCACATATAAAACACTCCGCTACGCGTCGTGTTTTATATGTGATAAAACACACCTACTCGTTTATTAAACAGTACTACGTTTCAATTCAAAAAAGTTCGAAAGATGCAAAATTTGGGCAGTGTTTATATTTGTGGGTCCCCATTTGTTATGAGCAGAACTGATGCGCAGAACGGACTTGACATGGTCTTTAAATACAAGCATGCATAGCAAAACAGGAAGATCATGTAATCAGCTGACAAGTGAGAAAACAGCAATAGATTATATTTACAAACATATTGTTATTAATAACGGAAAGTTTGTGCGCTTGAATACATCGAAAGAAATCATAATTTTGCCGTGAATTAATAACAAAATGTTTGTAAATGTAATTTCGTATTACTGTTCTGCTGTTCTCTCACTTCTTGACAGTGGCGCAGTCAGCCCATAGATATCTATGAGCCAGCCCGACGATTTGGTCCCGCTAAGCAAACTTGATTTTCAGTCATCACTATTCATTTCTTTAGAAATTGATTGTGTTGGTAGATGGCCAGGGACGCCGGAACGATGTGAAGACAACGGGGGGGGGGGGGCAGATTTTCGTGAAAGGGCACTTTT